ATTGATTAAACTACTAGCTATGTATGAAAGTAAAGCGGTTTTACCTCATACATATTCTTTATTATAACTACCTAGTAGTAATATTCATGTACCTATGCGTGTAGGTTGGTTATTATGGCGCTGGGCGAGGTCATCAATATTTAGGCAACGGTTTCTGTGCAAGTATCTATGAAATGCTCCCTTATTTACCAAACACATTTTTGGAAATACATATACAACAAATGCACATACACACATATGTACTATGTACATACATACAGTGGCGGGAAAATTAATAAGGGAACCACATTTTAAAAAGGTTTTGCTGTTTTTCTTTTGTTTATTTGATGACAATTATTTTTTTTATAAAAGTTAAGCTGTTTAAAAAAAACACAGTCAAAATTTCAAACCTTGTAAAAAGTTTGGAAAATTCAACAAAGTTTCTCCAAAATTTCGCCATTTTTAATTAAAATTTTTAGAAAAAAAATTGTGTACATATCCAGTTTTGTAGTCCATTAAATTTTAGTATGATAACGTGCATTTTCTTCCATACAAAGTATGTACATACATAAATATGTTCGAACATTTTTTTTATTTATTTATCGATACGTCGAAGAAAATACGGAACACCGTCAGCAAAACAAAAATAGATAATCAATGGTAATTTTTAGTAATTTCTAACTTGCACAATTGAAGAATACTCAAAAAATTTTAATAAAATTTTGAAAATTTAGATACTTTTTTTTTTGAAATTGCGAATTTTTCAAAAAGTTTTAAATTGCGAACTATATGTGTTATGTTCTAGAATCAACTACATACGTATGTATATAAAAAAAATTACGAAAAAATTAACCACCTAAAACATTTTGAAAAAAATAAAATAAAAAATAACGAAAAAACCTATCACAAAAGATCTACATACATATGTACATATGTGCGCTATTTACGTGAGCACCACTGTATTTGTTGCGTTTGTATATACCACATCCTGCGCAGCTGTCGCTTAGTACCCGGCATGACTCATTTTTTGCCGCATTGTCCTTTTTCCTCCACTCTACAGAAACTCGCACACATACATATATATATATACATATTGCAAGTACTGTGCTTATGGAAATCGATATTTTTACCGCATTCATTGGAAATGTGTTAAGCAAGCCTTTGTATAAGTTAAGGAAATTGCAGGTGCAAACATTTGCAGTAATTAAAGTAAATTAAGTGAAATTTTTTAATTTCATTTTAATGAATTTGCCCTTTATAATTTTCTATCACACTACAGTAGATTTTATTTTTTAAAAATACTAAACAATCTTAAGATGGAGCTAAGTACCACCAGGCGGCCCGTTTCTTTCAACTTTTGACATGATTTTGTTTCCATTGGTATTCTCAAAAATAATTAGAATTTTAATTTAGTTAAAAATTAAGGAAAATTAAAAATTTTGTAAAAATATAAGCACAGCTAAGCATACATATGTACACATACATATGAGTCCCTATAACATACATATGTACATTTCGATATCCTCAACAAATCGGGCATTTTTGGTAGCTTTCGCACTCTACTTTTAATTTCCAAGGAAATTTTAAAGGAAAAGTGACATTTTAAGGTGTTAAATTCGAAATAAGTGAACATCTGCCATTGCCGTTCATTAACTCCTACATTGTTGGTTTATTTCTACTTAACAAATGTGCTTGATGATGATTTGTATGTTTGTGTGTGTGTATGTGTGTTGACTGCAAAGCGATCGCTTTCGAAAGCCCACAGCATACTCAACCTGGTAGAGTCTTTAAACGCATCGCCAGCATATCCAACTTTGAAAATAGATTCACTAAAATGGCGACGTCAGCGAAAATATGTAGTACATACATACGTCATACCTACAATATTTATTTACATACATACATATGTATATATGAAGGTATGTACATATATCAATGCATTTCTATGCAATTAGGGCTAATATGAATGCAAAAGTACACATTTTTGTACTTGAGAACAGAAAACAGATATCGAATAGGAAGTTTTAGGCAAAATCTGCAGATAAAGCAACATAGCCGCAAAAGTAGTCAAGTGGTGCTGGAAAAAGTCTAAAGTGGTATCTAAAGTCAAAAACAACAGAAAGTAACTACTGTATGTACATTAAGGCGTGTCACGAAAAAAGTTCAGCGTATGTCAGTTTTATTTGAATACTTTCATATGTCGAGAAAAAATTTTGGGTGTACTTTTTTTTTTTATGCACTCGCTAAAAACCGCTAAATTGCGTTTTTCGCTATTTCTTATTTGCTATCCGATTTTTAAATTTTAATGTCACCGAAAAGGCATCGCTCAGGACTATAATTGAATAAAGCCTAACCCTTTTTAGCAAGGTCGTCATCGTTTTTCGCGAGCTATTGGTTTATTCTATAAAAATAAAAATCTAGGGATAGTAATTCCAAAATTAGTCAAGCTATAAATTAAAACGGCAATTTAATGGACAATTGTAGTCCTCAGCGAGACCTTTTCAGCGACATTAAGATATAAAAAATCGGATATAAAATAAGAAAGTTATAGTAAAAAACGCGATTTAGCGGGTACCAAAAATTTTTTTTACACCCAAAACTTTCTCTCGAGATGACTGTTTAAATAAAACTGACACGCTTAACTTTTTTCTTTCATATGTCGTGATACAGCTTAATGTACATACATACATATGTATATATATATATGAATGTATGTACATATTTGTGTACCAGCATGTACTGCTGGCGTGCTAATAGCATAAAATCGCTGAGCTGGAAACCAGTTTCCGAAAAAGCTGTCCATGTATGGATAGCAAGGCGGCCGGCTTTGAGCACGCTGTGTGAGCGGCGGATACTTATGTACATATATTTTTTCAACCCACATTGTCGCTATTACACATATATACATATACATATATATGTACATATGAACATATAAGAAATGTTGTTTTCGTGGATGGATGACGTTATGAGCGCAGGTTCGCTACATTTAGCGCAAACAGTTGAAGCCTATCAACAAATTTGGAAGCCATAATTTTTTTGAGCACACCTCTAAAAACTTTGAAATACATACATATATTGATGTACATACATATATACATATGAATCTGTGCCGTTCAATTAAAGTAGCTTAAGTGACTTAAGATGGTTTGGCTTTAATTAAAAAAATAAAATAATCAGTTTCCCTTGAAGATTTTTATATTTTTATTAAGCTTCTATTAAACGGGCATCTTGAACTGCACCTATGGCTAGTTAAACGTTAAAATATTGTTTGGGAACCCAATGAAATGTTGCTTTAAAGGGAAGAGGGTATATCTCTTCTTAGGCTATTTTATTTTAACGGCACGAATATGTACATAGCAGACTGAACTAGCTAAGCATTTAATAACGGGAAGTTAAATACTTTATGTGATATAATACTTTCATTACTGCAATCTGTATCGAGGTTTGGAAGAAAAATAAACATTCGAATGTATGTATGTACGTGTGCATGCATATCTAGACATTCCACCCACATACTTCTGTATTTAGGTACCTCATGCAACTCCAACAGCCACTCAAACCAATTCCATAACAGCAGGTGGGCAGTCTAGTCTGAGCAACAGTCTGGAGGATTTACATACATACATATATGTACGTGTTGTTTAAATCATTTCATATTCCATATAAGACAACATGAGGTAATTTTATTTACAAAACAAGTTTAATTGAAGTCATTCACAAAATAAAGTATACAGTTAACTTTCCACTTTTAATACTTTTTTAATGAAATCATCTATCATGATTCCAACAAATTTAACAACATTAGTTTTTAAACCTATCAGCTAAAAAGCATTATTGGAAACCATTTGGTATAGAGAATTGAGATATTGAGGATAATCGTGTGTCAAGAACTTGTTTTTTCTTCTAGTCTAGTTTTTGATTGGTTCTGAAGGATTACAATAAAATGCGGTGGCTATTCGCGTGGTGGATTGTAACCATTTACTACCGGTAATTGCTCAATAAACATTACACAATGATATCTTCGCTAGTCAATTAGTGGTACTTTGTAATTACTACCTTGACTGAATCATCAAAAAGGAAAACATATTAGTTGCGTTCCAGATGCTTGACGATTTGCAGGTTTTACAGGATTTGCAGGAAAAGCTGTTTTCGCCATTAATAAACCTTATGGAAGGTGGCCACCTGGAACAGCTTCCTGTAAAAACCTGCAAATCGTGAAGCATCTGGAACGCAACTATTATATGAGCCGTTTATTTTGAAAGTGGCATAATTGATTGCATGCCGTTTGACTTCGGTAATTATATACATGTCGCGTTGGTAATTCGCTCAACTGCATCAGCTAAAGCCATTGGTTTACGGCGGTAGACAATTTACAGATGCATTCAGCACAAGAGTTAGGAATTACTTATGTATGCCACTTTCCAATAGACTATTCAATATTAGAATATTAATTTAAACGAAAGAAGTACCTTACAATTCATGCGCCAGCTCAGTCGTAATTACTGCAGCTCGTTGGTTCCAAGGTATTTAGAATATGTAGGTGTAAACATTTACGATAGCAAATAATGAAATATAAATGTAGGCTTTCACTAGTTTAACAAATTTTGTTAGCGGAAGGAAGCATGGAAGGAAGTGTTGAAAATCAAGAGATTTTAGGCGGGATCAAAGTGTCATATCAACGGAAGCGGCTACTGCCTTGAATATCGCGATTATGACAATTGCAGCAATGTGAAACTGCTTTATCTACAAATGCTGCCACTAAGTACGCATTTGGGAAACATAAATCATAAAACGTAAATGTATAAGAACCGACAACTCGTTACTTTGAAAATGTGCCGCGACGATTTTGACCGTATCTGAAAGGTTGAGACAAAGAACGTAAATGTATACATTTACATACGTTCTTTGATCGTGCCAATGTGCGCTTCGCTTTAATTCGACCGTTTAAGCTCCAAACGAAATTTTTCTGGCTACACTGGCCGGAAGAATTTATGTATCGAACGGCAAATATCGATGTTTCCAATGCAATAATGGTTTTACATCTCTAATTTGGAGACGTAAACAAAAGCAGGCGATAAAGAAGAATAGCTGAGAAGATTAGCATATAAGCGGTGATTTTACTAGTTATTGAAGTTCCACAAAACTCAAATTTAAATAGAAGTTCTCGCAAAAAAATGACTTTAACTAAGACTGTAGATCAAGCAACCATCCTAAGCGGTGATCGTTCCAAGTAAGTACTTTGATTTTTGCATACAAGACCGGCAATGCAATGCAAAGTAAATATATTTTAATAAATGAATTTATTTTAATTATTCTGTCTTTAGGCTAAAAGATTTGCTTTGTAATCGTTTGGCTGAATGTGGCTGGCGTGACGAGGTACGTCTAATGTGTCGCAATATAATCAAGGAGAAGGGCAATAACATTAAGGTAGAGCAACTGATTGCCGATGTAACGCCACGCGCGCGTGCCATTGTTCCCGATGCTGTCAAGAAGGAGTTACTCATGAAGATCAAGGCTATTTTAGCTGCTCAAGAAGGCATTGATTTGTAAATAGGAAGTTAAGCGCGTACCTAGTGCTGCTTCCACTTACTATTTTTTATACGTACATAACGAAATAGTATTTATTGTAAGCATGATTTATTGATGATTGCATAATGCGCAATTGCTGAAATTACTGATAGAGTTAAATTTTTATTTAAAGATTCAAAATTTTTGTAATTATTTTCTCCCTGTATAGACTCAATTTTTAAGCTCAGTAAATTTCCTAAGTGTATTGATTTAGAAAAATGCATTTTTTGCACATGCAAATTTATTTTAAACTTAGATAAAAAAAAAATAGGTACTTAGAATATATTGTGCCGCTAAATATTTGAGCCGATCACTCAGTTTTGAAACTTTCAACATTTATAGGTACATATTTCTTTTTTGCTGCAATTTAATAATGAGAATACATATGCATATTTTCTTACCTGCGTTACTTTGCTGCGTTGGATTGTTTTCCAGTTCTAATTTCCAAGTCAAACTTTCAGTTGCTAAATACACTCTTTTTGCAACAGCATTAACATACATTGTTAAGAAATCTGAGACGTCTGGAAAACTGGGTTTTCAAAATTACAAGAAAAGGGCTAACTGAGCTAACCGCCTTAGCGATTCTGGTCGAATCCAATAAACGCCGATTGAAAATGCCAAGTGAGAAGGCCAGGTCCTCCTGTACATGGTCGATCCGCGTTTTAATTTTCAGAGTTGGAGCGTGTGCATTACACATAAACCCCCACAACCACGTTAAAGCCGCTTCCATTGAACTGTATCGTATTTGCAGCGACAATGGCAAAGTTCAGATTTCAATCTTTGTACAAAAATTATAAAAATTCTAAAATTTTCACCAAAGTTTAAAACTTTTTAATCAGAATCTTTAGTATGCAGTTTTGTAGTGGAAGTTTTAAGCTGCTAAAAAATCCCGTTGAAATTTGGATTTTTTTTGCTGGCAGTGTCCTCCACTTGAAACTTGCACTTCCGTAGAATTAAGTGGGCTACTGCATACCAAAATTTTTCCTAAAGATTCTTATTAAAAAGTTAGAAATTTTGAAGGTTTATACAAAATTTTGAAATATAAGTTTATAAAGGGTTTGTTGTATAACCAGCAAGACTTTTATAAAAAAAAAATGAACATGAAATAAACAAAAGACAAATTATGTATAAGTTAGCATAGAGTGAAAAGTTGCTAAGTCCTACTTTAAAAATTTTGCAGAAGAAGAAAAAAAAACTTCCTATAGCCATTTTCTTCAAGTATTTCGCAAAACTTTGTATACAACAGTTTTCCCGCTTAAAGCAAAGCAAAACTCCATTTGAATCAGAGGGATTCAAACTAAATTAAAAAATTTCGTATTATTTTGGCCTTGTCGAATTTTCGGAGCTTCTTTTGGACTGAGCAAATTTTCCTATCATTTAACATAAAGGAGAAAACATAAAACAAGGACCTTATCCTTTTCGAAACGATGCAATTTTATGGGTCGATTGCGGATAGCAACCGAACTGCAGTTGGTGGCCAGTGGCAGAAATGGTATTACAGATGGCAACTGGCAACTGAAAGCTAGCAACTGAGTTGCTATATTGGCAAAGCAATTTAATGGTTGCCGCAGAAATTTTAATTAGAGATAACTTATTTATTTTTTCAAATGTTTCTTCAAAATTATATTTCCTTTAACTTTATAGAACTTGACTATAAATAGTTGCTATTCATAATATACATTTTAATTTCAGTGGCATTGCCCATCGGTAACCCAACTGAGGTTGCGTTGCCATCCATAATCGACCCATTAATTTCTCTAGCCTCCTGTATCAAACTATGAGCTTTCACTCTAAGCTGGCGATATGTATGTATATCCGAAAAAAAAAAACGCGAAATCCGTTTTGTTAATTAATTTGTTTATTACCCATGTCTATACCACTGAATGGTTATGTAATGCATTTTTTTATTCATTTATAAAAAAATATTATACATATGTATGTATATCCGAATGTAAACAAATAGTAAAGTAATTTCAGCTCTCAAAACACCGAATTGCAAAGTCCACAGTTGCTCACCGGACAAGTTTTCATTTCCCGATGGGCGCCTACCCGCAATACCGCCGCCATACCGATCTCCGAGTGCACTGATATGTGACAATGCAGAATCCAATAACCCGGGCTGTCGGTGTAGAATCTCAGAATAGTATAGCCAAACGCAGGCACTTGTACGGTATCTTTAAGTGGGGCACCACGCTCTCGACGCGGCAGCGGGGTGCGACGATCAATTTCCTCGATCTATTAACAATAACAAATAGATATGGGCAAAATAACGAAGACATTCATTTAGTCGCTCCTCCTAAGTACTCACATTTCTAATACGATCTTCTCCCAGTACGCCAATGCCGACAACACGAAACGTATAGCCATGCAAGTGTATGGGATGAGCCGTTGCAGTGGTACTAGAGACAACGAACTCGACATCCTTGAAAGCCGGCACCTCGATAACATTGGCACATTTACACTCACGACCGCGACAATTCAAACCCATTGCGGCCTGCTGCGTCTTATTGCAGAGGAATTGGCCGATTCCCAGATTACGCGCCTGCAATAGCGAGACACGTGGCGGCATTGTGAATGTAATGTCGTCAATTTGAAATAGGAACTCATTTTTTGTGCGCACAGTCATGCTGGTGTAGTAGGTGCGGTGCGGAATGGTTGTTGTAGCGGCGCGTTTCTCCAACGCTTTCAAGTCGACGATTGTTATCAAATTATCATCATTATTTGGTGGCTTATCGACAGTGTTCAGCTCCCTACCGCTGGGTTCATACTCATAAAATACTGGAGCTTTTGGTAATGCGCGCCTGCTAGCACCCTGGTAGTGTAGTATCGCTTCCTGGTGCAATTTATTTGGCTTGCAGAAGTTGTGTCCCTTGACGCGTATCCAATAATTCTCAACGCCTTGATTGGCGTGCAAAACGAAGTCGTAACGTTCGCCGCCATGCAGTGTGATCTTGCGCACCTTAACAGGTTCAATGTCATTACCGTCGCTGGCGATGACCACGAGCTCGTGACTATCGAAGCTTAAGCTTATCGGACAATTGGCGATACCTGAGGAGTGAAACACATAGACGCTTTAGTGGAATACAAATGCGGCCCAAACATAAATATAAGGAAATAATTACTGAATGCTCGCTCACCGTTAAAAATTACCCGAAAGCGATACCGGCCGCCGCGCACTACCGAATAGGTTGAGTAGAGCGTCGGTGCAGTAGGCTTTGTCTTGGTACCATTTACTGGCGGTAGATTTCGTCCCAGACCATCAACCAATATTCCTTGTGGTTTTGATCCATCAGGATCGTACATCCAATCCTGTAGCAAGATCGTATGTTCCGAAGCGTCAAAGTCATATAATGAAGCATGCCCGTCATTAGCCTTGGGCTGTCGTACCACCAATGCGCCGGCTAAACCGAAGCCACGTTGGTGTCCCACATGGCTATGCCACCAATGTGTACCGATATGATCCACGTCAAAGCGATAGCGAAATGCCTGAGCCGGTTCTATTGGATATTGAGTAATAAATGGCACCCCATCCATATGCGGTGTCTGTCGCTGATGCAAACCATGCCAGTGTATGGTTGTAATGTCATGCATGCTATTGATAACGTCTACCACTATCGTATCTCCCTCACACACCTCAACAGCTGGTCCCGGCAATTGCCCGTTAACAACCATCACTTCCGTTTTTACACCATCCGCGTATTTGCAATCGTCGTAACCTTCAAAGTTGCGCACTGCGAATGTGTCGATATACTCGCGTCCACCAACCTTGAAACGAAATCGTTTATCGAGATAACGCTCACAACTCGGATTGAAGGTCTCATCGTAATGCACAACGAAGTAGTAGTAGCATGTCATGGGCTGATCTGCTCGGCATGTGCGTTTGCAGGGGTGATCGCTGAAATTCGTATTGCTGCCGCTACGCAACACTCTCGACTCTGCATAGGTGGGCTTCGGAAAGAGCTGTAGCATTTGCTCATATTTGCTGATATAAGCTGGAGAGAAGAACAAATATATATATGTACATAGATATATCAAGGAAAATCCTGGCCAACGAGGGCAACCCATGTGCGATGACCAAGGCGTGTGAAGCCTTAGGCCATGACAGACTGGCGGTTTAAAGGTCCGCTGAAGTATGCAGCGTCTGTTCTCCATAAGATGCAGCTCAAATGGGGGACTGTCTTGGAGTAAGCGAATCGCTATACAAATGTGCATTCAAAAGTTCCCTAGGTTGTGGTTGTACGCTGGGTTTGAAGCTCACCATGTAAAAACTAATTCCAATGAAAAGGAACGCAATGCCTGGGTTGAGATCCTCTTCTTATGCTGACGACCCCGGAGAACATTTAAAGGATTATGATGCGAGGGTATACACCTTGAAAGTTCGGTCCCTTAATGGGAAAGGAGCAAATGCTCGGTTTGATGATGTCGTTGCGTAGACAAAGGCTAGCATCACCGCCATCTAAAAAATCCTATGGTCGAGAGAGAGTCCGTGGCGAACGACAATTTCACAATGTAGTCACTGCCGCTTCAACCCATCCAGACGCAACGCGGAATCCCGCCTACACTTTCAGGAAGAAACAACTGTTCTTACAAATGAACGTGACCGCCTGCGCCAGGTCTATCTGGGAGATCCCGTCTACAGGATCTTAATTTGGAGATTCGGAACTCGTAAATGAACTTAAGCGGAAAAAGTGGGAAGAGCATTTAAAGACCTGCAATTTCCCACCAGTGAGGTCCTGACGGCTATCGGGAATATAAAAGCCTCCAACGCCTTTGGCTGGTAGCATATCTCACCAAGAGCCTCAATTTGTCAATGGCTGCTCGCATCATTCCCGTCGTGTGGAAATCAGAGAGAATGCCGATAACGCTCCACTCCCCCGTTGCGAAGACAATTGAGACCTTGCTACGACCATACTTTACGTACCAACTAGCCCCTGCGATGCATCCGCATGGCTTCCGCAGAGTGTGCGGCACTTAACGCCACAAACCTTCAAATGACTCGTGGCCTTAACCGTAACCGTCCCTGTTAGAAAACGGTCCTAAACGTTTGCCAACGAGATCAAATATCAAAACCAAGAAGAATTAAGCTAGGTGTCGCTCTCACTGTTTAACTTCTATGTCTCGAAGAGAGAGTTTTCCGGATCTCATCTGCTGACTACTGTTCGACATTGGCTTCCGGGAATGGAATTGATGACATCTACTCGAAAGTAAATGGCTATCTCTCTGAACTTACTCGCATCTTTACTGCTCGGCGCCTAAATCGCTCCCTGACGAAATCAGCAGCATCATTTGGATAAAGGAGGTCAGGCAACAGCTAGGCATTCCCGTCGGTGGCACACCAATTCCTACTGTAAACAACCCGAAAATATTACGGTTTACTTTAGACAGTAGAAAGTACAGAGCCGCAACAAGGTTCCCAAGTCGCATGACGGCAGCACTTGGGGCAAAGGCAAAGATACGTTGTTGGCAACATACAACGCAATTGGCTGGCTGGTACTGAACTATGTCGCGCCTATTTGGTCAACGAGACCTAGTAGTTCGTAGTGAACGAAGCTACAAACCTGGCCGAATGCCGCACTTCGGACAGCGACAGAACTGCTGAGTTAGCTGTTTTTGGTGGGATGTCACAGATGTGAGCACTCCAACAGGAAGGGGCATCTTTTCGCATATATGGACGTATTTCAGACTAACTTCGAACCTTTGGATTCGACGACGTGCCGACGAGTGATCAACGGCATTCATAGAGAGTCGGTCACTACCTACACGACTCTAGACCGATGTATGCTGTGATCGGAGTCCAATCCTCACCTTTCGCAAACACAGACCTTCGACTGCCACGATAGACCCGCGTTATTCCATAATTACGGTCCGGATACTACCATGACACCAGCTTCACATGTCAGTTCAAGCTTACTCAGCTACTCAGCACACTCGCTTTGGTCCAACCCAGGGGCAAATACAAGCAAAGTGGTTTAGCTGTTCAACACAAGAAGCTTCAATAAACCTCATTAGTTTAGGCAGACAGGACCTTCGAACTCTCACTTGGTATTTCAAGGGACATTACTCCAGGCGTTATCACCTCATTCAAATTAATATTGCAGAGGGCAAAAGATCTACACCGTTCGCTCGATTTTCACAAATGGTTTTATTTTTTGGAACAGAGTTGCCACCTGTAGAACAATTGATTTCAAATTACATATTTAATAATCAATGCTTTAACTGCAGATATGCAATAAGGTTTTACTCTTTTGAAAAGAGTTGCCCCCTTTTAAAAACTATATTCAAACTATTAAAAAAAATCTATTATTACAAAATGGGTATCGGTACAAATTGTTTCGAAAATCTCTGTTTCTTAACTCAACCTTAGGAGGGTTGCCACCTGTTTAAGAAATCAAATTCAATTTGAATTAAGGGAATTAGTTAGGAGAAATATGTTAAAACATACGGGTGCCAAACGAAAAAGGGTTTAGAAGGTAGTAGTTTGAAAAAATATTGAAGAGGGCTGCCACCTGCTTGAAATATCGAATTTATTTAACTTATCCACAGGTTATGTGAAATGTTAAAATATGGAAGTCAAACAATAGAATGTGATGGAGAGTTTAGTTTGATCACTAAGAATATTTTTGGGGTGTTGGAAGAGGTTTGCCACCTGTTTAAAAATTAAATTCTACTTATTAAATAAGTAAAATTAATTGTTAAAATGTGGGTATCAATCGAATGAGGTTTGAAAAATCATTATTTCTGAACTATGTTTAGCGGGGTTGCCACATGTTTGAAAAATCAGATTCTACTAAATTTAGCTGTTAATTAAACTACGTATCGCAATGTCCGACGAAGGAGAGTTAACTAGGATGAAAATACTTTTGAAGAGTGCAGCCACCTCTTTGAAAAGTCTAATTTAATTAACTAATACAAAAGTATATGAAATATAAAGAATAGTCAAACAAAAGAACGTTAAGAAATCTTTAGTTTGAACATTTGGAATGTTTGAACAGGGTTGCCACGTGTTTAAAAAGTACCATTATTTAATAAGTTGGATGAACCTTTAAAAGATGGGGATCAATCGAAATGGATTTGAAAATGCTTTATTTCTGACCTTTATTTAGTAGGGTTGCCATGTGTTCGAACAATCAAATTCAAATTAGTTCATCAGTTTATTGAAATATGTACATGTATATCACAATGTCAGAGGAATGAGTTTTATGATTTTAGTTTGATAATACTTTAGAAAAGGACTTTCAAAAATGAGAGGTCAAATTAAAGATGTAGATTTGTGATAAAGTTGTTTTTTTTTAATTAAGTAGTTTTTTCAAGGGTATATTGGGGTGATTCGAAATTCGATGAAATTAAAAACCTTCACTATGCGAGACCTATCTTCTCTCAGCAACGGCTGCACGGTTTTAGATGAAATATGACACTCGGATCTCTTATAACTCTGACTAACATTTGGAATATTATTTAAGTTTTTGAAACTCAATTTTGGGCATTTTAACAAAATGCGGATTCACTAGTTATGAGTAAATGCTCTTTTGAATAACAGTGCGATATGTATGTATGTATGTTCATAAGTACATATGTATATCCGCAGGATGTACCTTTAAATACCTTCACATATTGTCCCGTATTCGAAAATCGCCCAAACAATGATTAGCATTAATTTCATTTTTACAAAATTATTTTTTTTTAAGGAAAAAGTATTTTTTATTTTTATTTTTGCTAAATTTGTTTTAAAAACTGTTGTTCAAAACACTTGCTATACGATAGTAAATAGAACACGTATTATTTAATGCACATATGTATGTATTTGCACAAAGCATGTATGTATAGGTGATTATTGCTTTTTTAATCGACTAAAGCCGGCGGCACTAAAACTCGCATAAGTACCACCATTGCTGCGCGTAAAATTTCTTAGAAAATCTACCGTAACCGTATCTGAAATATAAACTCGTCACACGAATAGCAGCGCAGGTGTCTTTATAGTCCCAGCGTGATTGATGGATGCTTGCAGATATTACCTTTACACAAAACGGTGATTTTTGGCAAAATGACTTTACTAAATTTAAGAAATTCTTCCAAAAGTGGGTTGAAAACCATACTTTTCACAATAAATATTTATTATAAAGGCTTAGAGACAACTTGTTGATAAGTACGGTATTTAAAATTTTGAACCGACTTCGAGAAAAAGAGGCGGGGTTATCAATTTATCGGATTGTATTTTATTTTTATTTATTTTTTATGTATGCTACTGGATAACTTTGGACCACGTGAACCGTTTTCGATAACTATTCTATTTTTTACGGAATGGGCGGTCCCAAACTAATTTCGTTTAGTTCCGATCATTGGCTAAAATACGCTAAGGCGAATTAAACTGTTTTATAAAAAAGGCGGTGATGTGTTTTTGTTATCAGGTGATTCAAATAAGCCTATACAAATACCAAATGAAGATAGCTGCTGCATTATACATACGTGTATGTACATGTCCATGCATATAAATTTGTCTTTCAATATTGTCAGCCCTATTTATCTCAATGAGAAATTTTTCGTGTGAATTGAAATTTGAATACTCAATAACAATTTTTAATTATTAAGAAAGATGTGTGTGTATGTACATATGTGTTAAAAAAAAAAAATCAAAGCCCTAACCAGAAGAACCCAGTAGAACAGTAGTAGTCGAGGGCCATCAGCAACTTTGACGAAGCACAAATAGCAATTTGGCGTCTGAAAAACAACAAAGCTGCTGGTGGTGACGGCCTGGCAGCTGAGCTATTGTTATATGGGCCAGCAAGGGCATGAAGACGTTTCGACTTTAAGTCCACATTTCGATGGTAAACAGATTTTTATTATTTGACTAGACTCACAACTTAATCTACATATGTATGTAGTATGCATGTACTAGAGCATTCAATCCTGAGGCATTTTAACAATCCCGGGATTTCGGGATGCAAAAATTCGAATCCCCGGATCGCGAGATTTTTCGGGATTTCGACTTCATCAC